ATTATAGCATTTGTTACATACAAAATCAATAGTGGAGCTTCTTCAATAGAGAACGAGAAGTTAGCTTTTCAATCAAATACCTTTTATATCTGAATAAGGAACTTGTCTAAAAAGCGATTTAATGTAATGTCAGAGATACACAAATATCTAATTTGTGATCTTTTTCAGATAATTTCATTAGAGAGCATAGTGGAATTAAATAAATCTAGGGAAAGGATGCGACATAGCGATCATATGAGAGCATTAGCGTTAAACATCTTCTCGCAATGCCGCCGACTACTGATGCATTCCAATAATGTTAAGTCTCTTACTGGATTTGGTACTGCTGCCACAGCAGACTTATTTTTGAAGAGTAAAGACGTAAGATAATTTCTTAAAATCCCCGTATTATTTACTAATGCTGGCTTTCGTTTAGGAGAAAAATCGGGCTCCATACAGACTTTTTACTCCCCCATATGTGCTGGCTCCCATGAGGGAAAAAGTCGAGGCTTCAGAGGCATTTGGAAAAGGCTCTCAAGATCAGTCCTCAGTATTGTATATTTCCTATTGTCTGTCAGAGGATCAAAGCTGGTTATTGGCCGTTGGCACCGATGAGCGGGGAGAAATTTTCGAGAATGTTACCATTAATATTGATATTCCTAACCGAAGTAGACGGAAAAAAGCGTCTGCCCGACGGGTGGCTCTTGAAAAGTTAATGACATTTATTCTGGGCATTATGTCCCAGAGTGTGAGACCATGGCGATTGGTTGTTAGCAGATTAGGGAGAATTGGTAAGTTGATGTATTGTTGTATGAGTATCCAATGTACGTTAAGGGTGATATTTTATTCTGGATATCATCTCCAAACTCATTGGTACATAATTATAAAGAGGTTTATTTGCTTTTGATATAACGTTGGTTATATTTAAAAAAAACCTCTTGAACACTATTTTATTTGTGAATTTCGCATAACGCAATTATATTTAATAGTTAACATAACAATATAAGAAGAGCTCGTATGAGTCGCTATGGGATTATCGGACATATTAAATGATTTGAAGTTGGGTAAATCGGGAAAACGTTGAGCAACATGTGCTCCAAATTAATAACAAATAACTTTAACCGCATTGTGTAAAATTGGTTATTAATTTGCGTTCTTTGGTCTGACTGTCTCCATTCCAAATACTTGTTCCAATACAGGCGTTTCGGTGCCTTAAAATAAAACGTGAAAACGTATTAAACTTTTATGTATTTGAAAATCTTTCAATCATGTCTTACAGAGACAAGTTTTTGCGGATGTTTTGAGTTTGTCATACAAAACCTTTTTCCCCATTAACTTCGTACCATTTACGCTTTCCGATACTGACACTTTATTTTAACCGGGACACAGTGTATTGTAATATTTAGTTTTTTCATAACTCTTGCGCTAATTAACTGAAGTTTTTTTTTTGTTATAGGACATGGGGAATTGAAAGGTTGGAGTTGGCTGTTGAGCAAACCAAATCTCGTTAAAGCATCTAGACATTTAAAAGAAATCTGCAATCAATGTTCGATGCTATATCCCAGCGCGGTGCCTTGCATAATATCGGCTTGTCTTGTCAGCATCGAACCTGATTCTTGCTTAAGATTAATGCCTGATCAATTTACACCTGATGAACGGTTTAGTCAAGCTAGCGTTAATTCGCAATTGTCGACGCCGCAAGATGTATCCTGTACACATATTTTAGTGTTTCCTACCAGCGCTACTACACAGTCTTCACAGACTGCTTTCCAGGTACGCTTTTGCACACGCAATTAGAGTTGGTTCCGATCATATTTATTTATTTCAAAAAGGCTATCGACCCAATGGTCTTTGGGCCCTTGTGTATACATAACTATGATGTTAGTATATAAATTATTGGGGATGCCGTCCTAATTAGGACATTTTTTGTTTAAGTAAGATGTACGCCCATATCAAAATGGTAAACTTCTTTATTTTTTCAACGTTTCGGCAGTGCTCTGCTGCCTTCCTCAGGATTACAGATCATGATTTAAGCCCAGACTCAATTTTACGTCAGCACAAACTCAATTTAAAACACATGTCACGTTACATAGATTAATCTTTTGGGTCACGTAAAATTTTTTTTGTATTTAGAATATTTAAATAATTTTTCTGCTTAGAGACATTGTCGACTTAACTGAAGTCGACATTTGTCAGGTTGGTTGTGTGGAGTAATACGTCCGGTGTTGAGTCTGGATTTCCTGGCATCAGGAATATTGCTGCTGTTTGCATTTTTGTGATGTTATAGTTATCCAGAAATTTATTTTGTTGCGTCGTGTGATCGGATTAATGTGTCACTACGAACGATAGAAATGGAATCTGATAATATTAGATTTTCTTTGCAGGAGCAACATATTTCGGGCGACTTGGGCGATGACGAGCTATTTAAAGCATTCGGCGATGATATGGCAGTTGAAGTCGATAACGATATCAGTGAGATTTTTAATGGCTGGGACCAAATAGGTTACCAGTCACCCAACGGCAGTCCCAGAAGAGAAGATGCTGGTGTCGGAAGTCCTAGTGGAGGAGTGGCTGGTGGAATGGAAGGAAACTTGGGGGCACCCGGAGGAGCACCAAAAGGTCAAGAATCAAATGAGGAGGTATGTAATAACACGTTCATTTAGCCAAGCACAAATCAAATTAAAACGTACATTTTTTAGGTTGGCGTTGTTTTACAACAACCACTTGCTCTTGGGTATCTGGTCTCAACCGCTCCTACAGGACGGATGCCTCGATGGTTCTGGACTTCTTGTCCTCATTTAGAGGGCGTTTGTCCAGTCTTCTTAAAAAATGCTCTTCATCTACACAGCCCCAATATACAACAGAACAGCGATGACCTGTTTCAACAAGCGGCACAAGTAAGCAGCCATCCACTGGACTCCCAGTATACAACAGATGTTCTTCGGTAAGTCTTAAGCCCCATGTATCCGTGTGTACGATGATAGGAATTACGAAATACGGGACAATCCCGATTTCTAACTGTCCCATGTATACGATTACTTTGTCCGATTCATAATTTTATCGTTACCATATACCGAAGTAAGAAAACCTCGAGTTCAGTTCTACGCCTGAAAATAATCAAAATGTCAGATCGTACATGTAATTAAGCTAAAATAAGAATTTACGTTGGAAATAATTTTTAAGAAATATATTTGAAGTTATATCTAATAAGAAAACCGTTCAACGCTTAACTTTAAATCAAGTAATACATCGTAGATATAATTAAAGCTCAACAAATTTTTGAAAATTTGACATAATATCATTGAAAAGAAAATTCGC